TTTTTTTTTTTTTTTTACCAACCGGCTGGTCTTGTTCTTGTCCGAAGAGTTGCCTTATATTCCTTTTAGGGTATGTCAATGAAGATCTCAATCACCATCGTGAAGTAAAAGTTACTAACTCACTATTTACTGATATATCAGGCCATGGGAACTGTCGATATGCATCATCATCAAGTGGGACCCAAATATCTCCACCTAGATCGATGCCACCACCAGCAATTCCAATGACTCCTCCCAGGTAACACACCATTTAGGCTATGTTTGTTTGGGAAACCTAGCTGATAAGCTATAGCTTATAGCTTTTAAGTGAATTTAGAGCTTACAGCTTATGACTTATAGCTGAAAAACTAGCTTATATGATAAAAGTGTTTGGTAAAATTAGCTGATAAGTGAGCTAAAATAAAAACTTCAATGAGCTTATTTGAAAAGCTACTTGAAGAAGTTTATGAGATAAACTAAAGTTTTTTAAAAAAGTTCGTCCTACCAAACCAAGCTTGTTTGAATACAGGAAGCTTATAAGCTAATCAAATAAACTACAACCTAACTTATAAGTTTACCAAACACAGCCTTAAGCAACTCTAGCAAAAAAAAATAAAATAAAATAAAATAAAAAATCTCAGAATAACAAATACTACCCTGATATCGAGTTCTTTACCAAGTGAGTGCACCTTATTACAGTTAGATTAAAACTTCAAAGGGCACCTTTTGTAATTATCTAAATATTAATGAATACCTTTTTAATTTCATAACAGCATAACTACGCCGGTAAATCCTTATCCACCAGTAGGCAATGGTTACGGTTCAGAACCGGGCTACGATTACGGGTCTGAACCAACAGGCACTCCTAATTCAGCCGGAATTATCTCTCTCGACATATTCAAGCTCGTCATATTGAACTGCCTCCTCCTAATGTCAGTTTCTATGGCTAACCACTTCTAAACATGCAAAAGGATTAGATTTGGTTTGCTATCTCCCATAATGAGAAAGCAATTTGTTCGGCAGCTAAAAGGGTATTGGAAAATTTTGGTGGCACTGATTATTGATTCTATGCGTTCAGTCTTCAGAAAGAATAGGAAACAAAGAGGCACAAACAGACATGTATTAGATCATTTTATGAATAATAGATGTATTTTCTAAAGTTAATAAGCGATTTCATACAAGAATATCTGGTTTAGGGGGGAAAAAATAAACATTAATGAAAAGGATGTGTAATATATTCAGGATTTCTCAATTATCAGAAGATAAAAAGATAACAGTCATCATCAGATTTACTCGACCACCTGAAATAAAATGCAGTTAATCTGCCCCATAAACGAGAGCTATGCATACCGGATAAATTTTGATTCTTGTTCCGGTAGATGTATTTTGGCTTCATTAAAAACTTTTGCACAAACTATAGTCTCTCTCTCTCTCTCTCTCTCTCCCTCTCTCTCTCTCTCTCTCTCTCTCTCTTCTTTTATATAATCTCCAATGAGTCAAGAAGAGGGATATAAGATATTATGTGTGTGTGGGTGTGTGTGTGTGTTTGGGACAGAGAGAGAGAGAGAGAGAGAGAGAGAGAGAGAGAGAGCACGAAAAAATGAAAGACGCTTTCTACTTCTAGTAAAGATAAAATGATGGATACATAAATAGTTCATAATTATCACTGATGGGCTAACACCATAACAAACGAGATAATTAGCATAAATTTCCTCCATATACGTCTGCTTTGTTGAGTACAACGTCTAATATAATTCTGACACAGAGATAAGTAATCTCTATCATAAGAAGAGCATGAGAGAGAGAGAGAGAATTTATTGTCATTAATTACAGATAGTCTATAGTATACAGAAAATGATTAGACTAGATCAAAAGCAAGCACGGTACAGCAACAATACAGATGGTGGCTAAGGTAGCAATGATTGAACCTTGGTCGAAAGCTTTTCCCAAGCTGCCGGCTCTTGTAAAATGCTGGAAAGCCAAATAAGCTGCTATTACCAATGAAAGAATCACACCTTCCTTTGTTCCTCTGAGATAAAAAATTAAGCCGAGAATATAAGAATAGTTTTTTTGTAAATAAAGAACATAATAAACTATCTGCAAATAATTTACTAACCTCAGCCTCATAATTTGATATGGAGACACAATCACCAACATCAATGTTATGAACGGCAACTCCAATTCCCCTGAAAGATGAGATATAACTCGAGTTAAGTTAACCTAGTCCGAGTAGTGGCAAAATATGAACAAANAAAAAAAAAAAAAAAAAAAAAAATGCACCAATCAGAAGGTAGAAGAAAACTTTAAAAATATACTTACTCAGCTCAAGGACTCTAAAGTATATATATGAAGTACTACCAAATTCTGTCTAGTAATCCTTACGACATAAAAAAGTTCATGAGATAGCAAATATTCACTTGATTACGTTCATGAAAAAGATAACTCACCCGGAATAAAGAAGAAGAGACGTACGAGAAGGGCCAAGAAAGCAGTCCACATGCCATACTCACCCCTGAA